AGCCACACAGAACCCAAGGAGCCTCCAACAGATGAACCAAAGCAGTGGGGCCACACGTAGGAGTGTGCCATGCACCCCCCTGAGAAAGGGGGCAGCCGTTCCCTTTGAGTAACATAAAAGGAGACTATGAGCCACAATTCCTTCTTTTCTTAAATCCTGATAAGTCTCTTCTTTTATTAAGTCTTTGATGTCTTTTGGCTCTGTGCAGCCTTGAAACCACAGATCCTCCCAATTAGCAGTTGCGAGTAAAACAAAGTCTGAACAAATAAGGTGGAGTGGGCGGCTATTGAGGCTGATGCATGAGGGAGACAGAATTCTAAATATCAAATCCATTTAGGAAAAACGTTTTAAAGTTGAAAGCTAAAATGTTTCACAGAGATAAAATCCTGCTGCGTACTTATCAACCACAGATGTAGCCATGGAAGATTCTCTAGAAGAAACCCCCATTAAACATCTGGGTTTCTACTGGCTAATGGCGCCTCACAGAATGCAACCATTAATCTCAAATCCTCCATGCTAATTGATTGCCTGGCATTACTGAACAAACTATCATCTATAACTCCAAAAGATGTAAAAATACTTTTAGGTTTGTAAGAGTCCCAAACATCTGTATGTTAGCCGTTTTCTCTCCGGTTGAAGGAAAATTTAACAAACGGATGCTCTGGTAGATAGGTGACCTTGAAACAATGCATGCAAAAGCATGGCCATACCCAGCGCCATCCTCCCTTTCTTCTTGTCAATTCCTAAAGAAATTCTATTCATGTTGGAAGCAAATTGCGATAAAAAGGGAAATTCCAGGGGTGCCTGGGTGGCTCAGTCGTTAAGCGTCTGCCTTCGGCTCAGATCATGATCCCAGGGTCCTGGGATCGAGTCCCACATCAGGCTCCCTGCTCAGCGGGAAGCCTGCTTCTCCCTCTCCCACTCCCCCCTGCTTGTGTTCCCTCCCTCACTGTGTCTCTCTCTGTCAAATAAATAAATAAAATCTTTAAAAAAGGGAAATTCCATTCAATTTAGATAATGCCAAAATCATTGGGACTGGGGCCCTTGCTGAGAAAAATAAAATGGTCTCAAGGTCAGAAAAGGGAGGAATGCATGGTACAAATGGGTACCAGCAAGAAAGGCGCTGTGCAGGAATCAACCGCAAAGGTGCCTGGGAGCAAGGCAAAGCAATATATTACAACACAGTGGGATTCAGCATTCATTTCCTACTCTTTCCAGAATCCATCCTTTGAGCCACTGTTCCTCTCAAGGGGTAAGAGGCATTATTGGCATTTTGGGGAGGATGATTCTGTGTTGGATGGGATTGATCTGTGCCTTATAGGATATTTACATCCTTGACCCTACTCACTAAATACAAGTAGCATTTTCCAATCACTGACACACAAACATCCCCAGACTCTCCCTAGAGTAGACGTTACTGTCCCAAGTTGAGAGACCTACAAATCGGGGCTATGTTAATTTAAGAATAAGGTGCAGTTTGAACTTAGCTGTGAGGATGCAGGAACTGACTGAGTTATCCAAGATCGCCATGCTGTCCATATGTAGGCGCATCAGGAAAAGAAAAGCAATTAACTCTATTTGCTGGCAAAGAAATCCCAGATATCCGAAAGGCTGCCAACAGCCACATGATTAGAGAGATAGCTTTGTTGTTGGTAGTAAAGCAAGTTTTAAAAGGAAGTCAACGACTGAGGACGGTGTTCAAAAGAACTGATGTAGTAAATAACTCAACCCATGTTGTCATTGTTCTTCTGGAAAGGGGAAGGAGGGTTTCTTTGAAAATGAGTTGCAATCTGCTTGATATTTACATGAAAAACGGAGGAGACAAGCCCAGTTTTTAGGCCATGGGGTTCAAATCAGTTATTGACCAGTTCCTTAACAAGTACATGCTGTGCTACTGGGAGGGTTCTGGGTCAATGGCTGCCTCAGGTAGCAGTTTGAGGAACTCCCCAGCTTTCTCAGTGTCACTGCTGAGGGTCTTCCTTCTCTCTTCCACTCTCCCCATTGACCCTTCTCAGCCCCTGTCTTCCTGCCTTATGTCCCCAGGACCAGATCATCTTTGGGGAAGAAGGTGGGAAGGGACAGCTCATCCTGCCATTGTGGGACCCCTTGCCCGCTCCCCTCTCCCCTTGGCTCTGTAATAGCCACTACCATTTGTTAGATAAGGACTGTTTGCCAAGCCCTGGGCTAAGGCTTTTGTTTGTTTGTTTGTGTTAATATTAAAGTAGGCTACCAAATGAAGTTTTAACAATTATTCCTCCAAAGGTTTGTTTTCATTATTTTTCTTGAGAGAATCCCAAACTCATAGAAAACTTGCAAGTACAATACAAAGAACTTTTTTTTCCCCCACGAATTATTTGAAAGTAAGTTGCCAGCCTGATGCCCACCACCCCTGATTTTCCTATGAACAAGGACATTCTCTTCCATAACCCAGTGAAACTCTCAAAATCAGGAAGTTTAGCGGGGTACATTATTACCATCTAATCCTCAGCTCCCATTCAGTCGATCCTGGGAATGTTCTTTATAGTAAAAAGATCCAGGTGAAAATCATGTGCTGTGTTTAGTTGTCGTGTCTTTCTGGTGCCCTTCAGTGTGGAACAGCCTTGCTCACTCTTCTGTGGGTTCTCATGACCTTGGCACGTCTGAAGAGTATAGGCCAGTCCTTTTGCTGAATGTCCCTCAATTTGGTTTTGTCTGCCACTTCCTCCTAATTGGGTTCAGGTCCTGCTTTGGCAGGACTATCAGAGAAGTGGCTCAGGGTCTTCCTGTTGCATCTGGTCGCGTGGCAACAGGATTTCGATTGGTCCCTCACTTAGGTCACTTGATTGAGGTGATATGTGCCAGTTATTCTTTTTCCATTTGTGACTAATAAGTATTTTAGGGGGAAGTACTCTGAGACTGCAACTATCTTGTTCCTCGGCAAACTTTCAATTATTTTATGGATTCATGGTTTTCTGTTTTAATAAATGGTCTGTCATCTGTTACTATCATTTTATTTTGATGCTCAAGTTGTTCCAGATGTGGCCAGGTGATCCCTTTTGAGCTGGCCTCTACTCCCCCTTGACAAGCCCGCATCAGTATTTGACCATTCTAGAACAATAAAATACCAGTCTCATGGTGTACTTTCCTGTAACCACCCTGGAATCAGCCATTCTTCAAGGTAGCTAAGTGCTTTGTTGTTGGGCTTCTTATATGGTGGGCCAGTGAATGTCTGTCCATGTGTGGGCCTACGTGTGTCTCATACCACATGTGTCCATATCCTTGGATGCTTTGGCTTATCTACTTCTCTGTTCCTTGTCTTACCGCAGAAGTCCTCAAACATTTACTGAAACTCTTGTAGATGAGAAAACCAAAGCTCAGCAAGGTAGTATGCTGTCTAGCTGGGAGCGAAACTAGAGGCAAAACCCCAAATCCCTTCTCCTTTTCTAAAACCACCCACTGTATCACACAACTTTCTTCATCATTAGCAGTGCAAATATTTTTATGATAGCTACTAATTGAGTTAGTGGGGATGAGAGGCGTGTGTGTGGAACTCAAGCTAGTAACTTAGTAAAGCTTCTATCAGCAGAAAAAGAAAATATAATATTTTGATTTAAAGTATAAAGTTATAAAGAATAAAACTGGTTGGTGCATAAGGAATTCTGCAAGTTATATGTGTGGGATCTTTCCTAGAACACATTGAGAGGAAAGTCCTTTGTTACAGAAGAGTTGAGAGATTCCCGTGTTAAGAATTAGGGTTCCCAGGGAGGTACAGAAAGTGAGATCAGGGACTAGGGTTTGGCTCCAATTCTGGCTTCGTATTGTCTATTATTAAGTCACTTAGTTTATTTGTTACTCTTTTAAAAACACAAAGGTGGTGATTTTAATTGAGAGACAAAGAGTCTATAGGATTACTGTAGGGAATAGAGAAAGACAATCTCTGAACTGTGTAAATGCCCAGCACTGTCTACATTAGGGGTCTTAACTGCATTTGTATTATTAGTTTCGGGGGTAGAATCTAGTGATTCATCACTTGCATTTAACACCCAGTGCTCTCCTTACATCACGTGCCCTCCTTAATGCCCATCACCCAGTTACCTCATCTCCCCACCCACCTCCCCCCCAGCAACCCTCAGTTTGTTCCCTATAGTTAAGAGTCTCCAATATATGCTTTGTAAATTAATGCTTAAATAATAAGATCTAGTATCAGGCATCTAATAACTGTGGTAATTTAGTCTCCTTGGGTCGCCATAACAAAATACCATAGACTGGGTGGCCTAAACAACAGAAATTTATTTTCTCAGAGTTCTAGAGACCGGAAGTCTGAGATCACAGTGCTGGTATGGCTGGGTTCTGGGAAGGGCTTCCTGGCTTCGAGAAGGCCACCTTCTCATTGTGCCCTCTCATGGTCCTCCCTCAGTCCCTGCACGTGGACAGAGAGAGAAAGAGAGATCTCGTCCTCTTTTTATAAAGCCACCACTCCTATCAGATTTGGCTTCCACCCTTACAATTTCATTTAACCCTAATAACCTCCTAAAAGCCCCATCTCCAAATACAGTCACATTAGGGATTAGGGCTTCAACATATGAATTTTGGAGGGCCACACCTCAGTCCATAGCATAGTGATAGGCATAAATGATATTTAAAAACATCTTCTGCAAAGTCATAGGTACTGCTGCTAATAGGTTTGTTGCCTACATTTATTATGGAAGGAAATGCTTAATCTCTGGTAGAGGTTAGTGAAAATAAAGATACGATTTTTTCCCCATCCAAATTCACAGCTACCCTGAACCTCTATGCAAAGACCATAGATGAAGAACTCCTGAAACATGCAAATAAGATGTTCTTGTTTTGAGCAAACAAGTGGCATAACCCCAGGATGGTGGGAATCAATTCTGGAATCAGCTAATCCTGCCCATTACCAGTCACCCGAAAGCAGTAGGTGTGGTGAATTGAAGAGACATTATCTGCTTTTGGCTTTTTTGAATATGTGTTCGAGTATTGGAATGTGTTCTCTCTTGCAGACACCAGTCACCTAAATACTGAACAAAATGATTCCTGGACCTCTGAGAACTTCTGGCTTGACCCTGGTGTGAAGAGCCAGACGGAGACCAAGGCAGAGGATGATGGGCTTCGGAAATCCCTGGATAGATTCTATGAAATGTTTGGCCATCCCCAGCCAGCCGCTAGAAATCCACTCTCCACATCGGTCTGCCAGTGCCTGTCTCAGAAAATCAATGAACTGAAGGGCCAGGAGAACCAAAAGTATGCCCTTCGCAGTTTTCAGATGGCCCAGGTCATCTTCAACCGGGACGGCTGCTCCGTCTTACGGAGGCATTCCAAGGACACCCACTTCTACCCACAGGGAGAAGGAGGTGTGTCTCTGGATGATGAAAAGCCCACCCCGGGACTTTCAAAAGACATCATTCGTTTCCTTTTGCAGCAGAATGTGATGAAAGACCTCTAAGTAGCCCCCGGTGGTAGGAACAGGCAGTGTGGAGGATGGCCCTGTGGCTCACACTGTCAGGGCCCCACGCACATCCCTTCGGGCCTCTCTGGCCAGCCCTGTGGGTCCAGCCCCCTGTGAGCTGATACCTGAGCCAGGTCAGCCCACATGGAGAGCCAGCAGTGTTTGTGGGCCTGATAGCCCCTGTGTCCGTCCACACTACCTCCCACCCCACCCCACCCTACCACTCCCTTTGACTTAAGGCCAGCAACTGGTTGGGAAATCCAAGAGCACAGCTTCCTTGTCCCAAGGAAGGAAAGACATGTTCTGAGGCATAATTACCTCTCCAGAACTCCCCTCTGGCTCAGGCCAAGACTGAGCCTTCCCACGAAATCACACCTTGCTCAGCTTCTTCTGTCTCCCTCTCCTCCTTCTCCCCGTCCACCTACTGGTGTCTCCTGGGAGCCTTTCCTTAATAAAGCTCTTGTACCTGAATCCTTGACTCAAAGTCTGCTTCTGGGAGAACCCAACCTAAGAGAACAGGCTTTTTCATTAGATGAGTCTTTTGAAGGATTCAAAGCTCTGTGCCGAATCAAGTATAAGAATCCTACCAAGTAGTAAAACTGTGACCATGTGGTTGAGAATGTATTTCCCAAAATAATATAAAGATTTAAATACAGTTTAAGATGCATCACATATTAATCATACCCTTGCCTCTCCAAAGCCAGAATTCCCTGTTTTATAATACTAACAGGGCGTGGAAGGAACATTTGGACCCTCCAAAATAAGAGCTAAGATTCGCAAATTAAAAAAAAAAAAAAAGAAAGAAAGAAAGAAAGAAAGGTTCTTTGTCTCCACCAGATTGCCAGTGTGAAAGGTGTGAAGAAAACAAATGTGCACCACCTACCGAAGTCTGTGTAAGCTCCATCAGGCCACGCCAGGCTGATGAGGTACGGCCTTGGCCGTCTGTGGAGGAAGAGAAAGAGGAATCCTTTGCCCAAGTGGATTCCTCCCTGTCATTGTTGCCTTCTGCCTGCCTGGTACCAGCACCCTCTGCACCCTCGGGACAGTTGGCCCCTCACCCCTGTCCTGTCCTTGCTTCGTGGTTTTAAATAGCTGGCCCGGGCTTGCGCCGGCAGGTGCTCTACTCCACGGCCGTGTCCTGAACCCCCGTTCGAGACTCAGGGGGTAGAATGACATCACCTGGCACCAAGCTCTCTGAAACTGTCACTGGAGGCCTCCTGCTAATCCCTGCCTTGACAGCCCTTCCCATACATGACATTGATGGAAGGAAGTCCATTTTTCTTTTGGGGGAAACCGAGAAGCTGGCAACCCTGTGCAGTTAGAGTTTGAGAAACTGGAGGTGAAATTTGATTGGCTTAAGACTCCAGAAGCTTGCCAGAAAGCAGATTTTGCAAACAGATCGGCTTCCAAGTGTCCATGAAGAGTGAGGGAGCCCTCTCAGGCAGGTCTCTTAGGAACGCTCGGCTGGAGAGAGGCGACTTCTAAAGGTCACCAATTCCATACTGAGGCTTCCAGTTCTGAGACAATCAGAGGTAAGAAACAGTGTTTCACACTGAAGTGCAGAAACACCACTGGAAGGAGACCCAAATGGTAGGAAATAGGAAAGGAGTAGGTCTTTCAGAGATACTTGAGGAAACAAGACTCCAGGTTTTTCTCTGACAAGCAATCATGTGACTCTCTCCCCAGGGGCTTCTCCTATTCAACTGGCCCCCAAATAATCGGGAAACCGGTGGGACTCATCATGGAACATGTGCAGGTTGAATTTTAAGGTCCGGTAGTTCTTTTGTTTTTTAGTGTGGAGCCAGTTAATGGATGACTCTGAAGAATGCTGTGGTTTTTAGTATTATTCAGTCACTGAAAGAAATATTGGAGATTAGTTTCCATGGCCACTAACAGGAGGAGACTGGATTATTTTCTACTGTTCGTAAAGAACAGAAGATGGAAGCTACTTCTGTTTGGCAGAGAGATTCTAGTATCAGTGATTTTGCAACCTTTTTTATTCTGGGTGCTGAGGGTGCTCAGCAAGAGGCAGACTCTGAGACCAAAGAATTTAGAAGTCTAAAAGCCAGAATCACCTTAGGGTTAAAAAAAGAAGAAGAAGAAGAAGAAAAAAAAGAAAAAAGTGTGCTGTGTGTTTGCTTGTATCTGAGTAAGTGCTTGTGACAGATCAGTACAATTTGATTCCCTGCAATCTCGCTCTCTAATTTGATCTTCATGAGGTTCAGATGGCATTTTCCATTTATCTCTGTTTACCTTTAATAAAGACTAAGAGATAAGGATATTAAGGCTCTGGCCTTTGGCATTATTGTCCGTTTCTGCCCTACAGATCACTTCACCAACGTCTTATCATCCCGTGAACATTCTGACTGGCCTGTGATATCCTCTGTGGCCTTTTCTAGCAGTCTCCATGAGGGTGGATTTGCTTGCAGGAACATCACAACTCTGAAGAAGAGAAATTGTTACCAGTGTTTTACGTTTGTATGGCGGCTACTCACTTCTTTAGTCATTGCTTTGCATGACCTATGTGAGTACATGCCACAGATCTTAGTACTAGCCATTAGCACAAAACAATACGGAGATACTTTTAAAACTTTTCATTGAATTACACCTATCACACAGAAAAGTTTTTCTAAGTGAACCTCTTGCTGATTTTCACAAACTGAACCCATCTGTGCACCCGGCATCCAGCTTAAGTGACAGAGATCACCAGCCAACCTAGGTGGCTCCCTTCTGAGTGAGGATTTTCATCTGGAGATGAGATGGGTTTGCTCAGACCCTTTGTTTCTCAAGCTGCTGACAGTATACTGTAGGCACCACGTGGAAAAACAATGTTTATTTTCATTGTTATCTCTTCGGTTTAATATGTTAGAAAAATATATAACTACTGCATCCAATCTGTGCTTTTACAGATAGCATGTAGGATAAGCCTAATATAAATATTTAAAATTTAAAAGTGAACTGAATTAGGGGGTCTGGGTGTCTCAGTCGGTTAAGCATCTGACTCCTGATTTCAGCTCAGGTCTTGATCTCAGGGCGGTAATATCGAGCCCTGTGTTGGGCTCTGTGTTCAGCAGAGTCTGCTTGAGATTCTCTATCCCTCTCCCTCTTCCCCTACCTGCCCCCTTGCGCGCTCTCTAAATAAATAATCTTTTTTTAAAAAAGTGAATTGAATTAGCGAAAAAGTTAACAGTGCAGACAACATATAGATATGTCAAAAATTACACAGCTGGTATACCAGAAAATGACTGAAATCTGGAAGACAATGGGATAGATAATCTATCTGACCTGATAGTTCCACCATCTCTCTCCTGGAACACTGCAAGAAACTTCTATCAGGTCAAGCCACATCTTCCTTTGCCTGTCTTTGCCCTGCAGCCGTGTCGCAAATCCTTTTAAAAAGCAAAACACAGTCAGCAAATTAAAGAGAAGGGACTAGCCTTGTCAAATATGAAAACATTTTTAACTCTACAGTAACTCAAGCAGCGACAAAAGTAGACAAATCCAAGAAAAAGAGTTCGGCCCATAGATATAAATGCACATGTAAATTGAGAATTTGATGAAGGTAGCATTTCAAATTTGTAAGGAGAAGGTGGAATTTTTAGCAGATGGTTTTAGAGTAACTGGCTCCCCAACGGGGGGAGAAGAGTATTCTTCACCTCACTCTTGATATCAAAATGAATTTTAGATGGATTAAAAATAAAAAGTAAAAAGATAAAATCATAAAAAAACTAGAATAAAAAGTGAACAATGTAGATACATTCATGTGTGCTAGTCGTGCCAGCCGGCCCGGTGTCTCCCAGGTCTCCATGCAATGGCAGATGGTGATCTAGGGCATCCCCCTGTATCTGCCCAATGATATCCATGTAGGCATCGCATGCAGGGATCCAGTGGGAGCTTAAGCAAAACGAGAACAAAGTAGACCAAAACAGCATTGCTGTTTGGTCAGAAAACGGTCACTGAAACTATAGACTACAAAAGTAAACCTTAAGAAAAAAATCCAAAGCCCAAACAGGGTGGCTGCCTACTAAAATAGAAGATTTATATAAGATTAAGAGTCTCCTAACATAATTTGCAAAATGCCCAGGATACAGTAAAAAAAAAAATCACTTGTCATACCAAGAACCAGGAAAATCACAATGTGAGTGAGAAAAGATAGTCAACTGACACCAATAGTGAGATGAATCAGATGTTGGAACTATCTGGCAGATATTTTAAAGCAGTTACCATAAAATGGTTTCAGCAAGTAATTATGAAATCCCTTGAAACATATGAAGAAATATAAAACCTCATCAAAGAAATGGAAGTTACAAAAAAGAACCAAGTGTAAATTATAGAACTGAAAAGCAGAGCTACCAAAATTAAAAAAGAAAAAAACCCCTCATTGGATGGGTTCAGTGGTAGAGTGGAGATGACAGAAGATGGAATCGCTTAATTGAGAACAGTTCAATCAAATTTACTCGATCTGACAAACAAGAGAACAGGGAGTGGGGGAAGAAAAGGAATCTGTGGCACAGTAACAAAAGATATTGACATTGATATCATCAGAATCCCAGGAGACAAGAAAGATTGTGGGGCTTAACAAATATTCAAAGAAATAATGGCTGAAAACTTCCATTTGGTGAAAAACAAAACCTACAGACTCAAGAGCTAATATGAATCTGAACTAGGATAAATCTAAAGAAATCCTCATCAAAACACAGCATAATTAAACTTCTGGAAACTAAAGAAAAAATCTTAAGAGCAACCAGAGAGAAATGATGCATGTCTTAGTTATAGGCAAACACCAATTCGAATGACAGCAGATTTCTCTTTTGAAATCATGGAGGCCAGAAGAAAGTGGCACAACATTTTTCAAGGGTAGAAAGAAAGAAAGAAACAAACAAACAAACAAACAAACAAACAAACTTGCAACTGTGTCTTCCCCAAGCTCGTCCTGTAGTTCTAATGTCCCACGGGACATTCTACTCAGATGTGTTCTTGTCACCATAAACAAAATGTATAAAAAGTCAAGTGCACCCTCTTTCCCACAGGCTAATAATACTCCCATTTGATATATGTAATCCATCAATGGCATTAACATTTGCTAAGTCACTCAGGCTTGAAAATATTTGGATTCATCATGACTTCTGCTTCTAAACATTCCACTATAGCATGCCAGTGGTCCTTAAGAGCTGAGACCT